CGATTACCAATGGGATCAGAAGAAACCTTAGATATCTTTGAAAGATTTATCATTTTTAATGAAACTAATATTAAAACGGTAAAGGTAAGTCCTAACCTACCTTGTTCGTTACAAAGAGAATTCCACTTATATTTTAATTGTAGGTCGTCGGTTATGGTCTTTCTAGTATTAGTTTAGTAATTGCACTCTACCGAATTAGACCCGTACGTATTATTTGTATTGACAATATATCTAACAACATATTTAAATGTATTTCCTTATATTTTTTGTTACTGTTTCTTTAGTTTTCTAAATTTAGAAATCCAACCAGTATACCACCTCATTTTTTGCATAAAAAAGTTCCACTTCAAGGTACTGTAAAGCGCATAGAGTCCACTTGTAGTGCACTTTTAATGGTCGATCACAAGCCATTAATAGCACTACCTCGATTGAATAGTGCAAAGTACTTACCCATTAAAATTGCTGGACTTGATATAACATCTAACGGTAAGTGCTAATAAAATTTCCAAAAATATATTCTAATAATTAATATTTGCTTTTAGGTATTAGCTGGTTACAAACAGTCATTAATGAAAAAGACATAAGTTTTATTCCTTTGTTTTCTACAAAAGAATATTTAAATTGTATAGTTACTACAGTATTGCCACAAAATCAGGTAAAGTTTTTATTAAATTTTAATTATATCTTTCTTATTTAAAATATATGTTATTTTCGTATAGGAACAAATAAAGATCGGGGAGGAATTAGTAAAACTTGGTTTTGCTGTGGTGCAACAAGATTCTTTAAAATCAATGACAGAGTGTCAGGAAGTCTTAACTTATCAAAAACGCTTACTAAATGCACAAAAGTGGGCAAAACGTAAAAGAAACGGATATTGGCATTTTGCTGAACAACCTACATTCTTATGGAAAATGCAACAACATTTAAATGAAAAAATGAAAAAGGTACTTCCAAAGTTTATAATACAACTACTTCAAATTTGAAGTTCCAGAAATTGTTACTTTAGATTGATATGAAAAATTTAGTATACATTTTTGTAATACAAATTAATGCATTTGTTTAATACCTGTCTCTTATACACATCTAGATGTGTATAAGAGACAGCTTATCTTATTATACAATATCATTTTTTGGAATGTTAATCAGTTGATATCAAAATAACAAGAATAGCTATAACAAAAATATTCTTTTCCATATTCCACTTGGACCTCATCTCTGTTCTATAACTAAATAAAATTAGAATTTATAAAATACATATTTTTATATTTTATATATAATATACTAAACACGATATTAGTATTATTGTAACGTATCGTGATGTGGAAAAATTTGCAAAAACAACATTATTCTCAACTTTATGTACAAATCTAAATCACAGTCTCTAATACGTTTTCTGACGTTTCTATCGCATGTATATCGAGTACAATAAAATAAAATAATCTTATAATATTATTTCACACCTGTCTCTTATACACATCTAGATGTGTATAAGAGACAGCTTATCTTATTATACAATATCATTTTTTGGAATGTTAATCAGTTGATATCAAAATAACAAGAATAGCTATAACAAAAATATTCTTTTCCATATTCCACTTGGACCTCATCTCTGTTCTATAACTAAATAAAATTAGAATTTATAAAATACATATTTTTATATTTTATATATAATATACTAAACACGATATTAGTATTATTGTAACGTATCGTGATGTGGAAAAATTTGCAAAAACAACATTATTCTCAACTTTATGTACAAATCTAAATCACAGTCTCTAATACGTTTTCTGACGTTTCTATCGCATGTATATCGAGTACAATAAAATAAAATAATCTTATAATATTATTTCACACCTGTCTCTTATACACATCTAGATGTGTATAAGAGACAGCTTATCTTATTATACAATATCATTTTTTGGAATGTTAATCAGTTGATATCAAAATAACAAGAATAGCTATAACAAAAATATTCTTTTCCATATTCCACTTGGACCTCATCTCTGTTCTATAACTAAATAAAATTAGAATTTATAAAATACATATTTTTATATTTTATATATAATATACTAAACACGATATTAGTATTATTGTAACGTATCGTGATGTGGAAAAATTTGCAAAAACAACATTATTCTCAACTTTATGTACAAATCTAAATCACAGTCTCTAATACGTTTTCTGACGTTTCTATCGCATGTATATCGAGTACAATAAAATAAAATAATCTTATAATATTATTTCACACCTGTCTCTTATACACATCTAGATGTGTATAAGAGACAGCTTATCTTATTATACAATATCATTTTTTGGAATGTTAATCAGTTGATATCAAAATAACAAGAATAGCTATAACAAAAATATTCTTTTCCATATTCCACTTGGACCTCATCTCTGTTCTATAACTAAATAAAATTAGAATTTATAAAATACATATTTTTATATTTTATATATAATATACTAAACACGATATTAGTATTATTGTAACGTATCGTGATGTGGAAAAATTTGCAAAAACAACATTATTCTCAACTTTATGTACAAATCTAAATCACAGTCTCTAATACGTTTTCTGACGTTTCTATCGCATGTATATCGAGTACAATAAAATAAAATAATCTTATAATATTATTTCACACCTGTCTCTTATACACATCTAGATGTGTATAAGAGACAGCTTATCTTATTATACAATATCATTTTTTGGAATGTTAATCAGTTGATATCAAAATAACAAGAATAGCTATAACAAAAATATTCTTTTCCATATTCCACTTGGACCTCATCTCTGTTCTATAACTAAATAAAATTAGAATTTATAAAATACATATTTTTATATTTTATATATAATATACTAAACACGATATTAGTATTATTGTAACGTATCGTGATGTGGAAAAATTTGCAAAAACAACATTATTCTCAACTTTATGTACAAATCTAAATCACAGTCTCTAATACGTTTTCTGACGTTTCTATCGCATGTATATCGAGTACAATAAAATAAAATAATCTTATAATATTATTTCACACCTGTCTCTTATACACATCTAGATGTGTATAAGAGACAGCTTATCTTATTATACAATATCATTTTTTGGAATGTTAATCAGTTGATATCAAAATAACAAGAATAGCTATAACAAAAATATTCTTTTCCATATTCCACTTGGACCTCATCTCTGTTCTATAACTAAATAAAATTAGAATTTATAAAATACATATTTTTATATTTTATATATAATATACTAAACACGATATTAGTATTATTGTAACGTATCGTGATGTGGAAAAATTTGCAAAAACAACATTATTCTCAACTTTATGTACAAATCTAAATCACAGTCTCTAATACGTTTTCTGACGTTTCTATCGCATGTATATCGAGTACAATAAAATAAAATAATCTTATAATATTATTTCACACATGGTACTATATTAGAATAATATAAATGAAAGCAAATTCTATATCCTTATAATAGCAGAATGTAGGAATGATAAAAAAATATGTAAAATCAAAACAATTACGTCGATATGTCTGGAATATATAGAACCTTTATAACATGGAATGGAATAGACTGAAGTTTTAATCCAAACTTGTGGTAACTATCAACATATTAGTATCTATTTTTTAATGGAATCACTATTTTTTTCAATTGGCTTGGATTTTTCTGGTCTCCCTTCAGGAGTACTTCTTTTTGCGGGTTCCTCAGATTTTGATTTCATTGTATCTTCTCGATTTTTCTTTACTGAATCAGTTTTTACATTAGTTGTTGTTGGATTAGCATTTGTAGTAGAAGATTCTTTTTTCACTTCTTTTAAGTTCTCGTTTACAATTTTTTTGGAGTTTCCTTTCTTATCTTCTTTAAGGTTTTCTTGTTTGATCTCCACCGTTGGCGCTTTTGAAGAAGGTGGCAAAGAGGGTGGTTTTGGAGCATTAGTAGACCGCTTTTGCTCTGTTGTTGTCTTTTGTGTGGTTGGCTTTGGTGCTGTAGTTGTAGGTTTTGGTGTTGTAGTTGTAGGTTTAGGTGTTGTAGTTGTAGGTTTTGGTGTCGTAGTTGTAGGTTTTGGTGTCGTAGTTGTAGGCTTTGATGTCGTAGTTGTAGCTTTTTGTGCTGTAGTTGAGGGCTTTAGAGTAGATTCTTGACCAGCTGGTTTAGCTTTTGAAGGCTTCACATCTACTTTATGATTCGGTGTGTTTGTAACTGTTATAAGTGGTTCTTGTTCTTTACTTTGTTTTACATGGGCTGATGTTTTACTTTCTTTTAAATGTGGAAATGCTTGGTTTAGTGGAACTCTCATTAGATACTCATTCCAAGGAGAACCAAGCCACAGATATCCATTGTGTACATAAGCAGAAGATATATCGTGAACTGTTCCATCATCTGAATAAATTGCATCCATAATATTTCCTGTTTTATCCATTCTGAGTACTATTGACGTTTTCTTTGTATCTAAACTTCCTAATGTCTCAAATGAACCTACTGAATATATAACTCTTTCTGCATAATAATTTGGATAAACATCTTTGAGTAATTTAAATGGAGCTTCTATTAGGTACATAAACCTACTAATCATTTTTCTTAAATATGGATGTGGTATAAGAGAATGAGGTAAACAAGGATTTTCAGAATCTACAGATGCAATTATAGATATTAGAAAACCGCCTTGTCCATCAGTGTGTACATTATCTGGAAATCCAGGCAAAGCCTCTGCAAAAATTTCGTGTTGTCCAGTTTTAGGGCCTTTTAAGTGATATTTGATAATACGTGAAGTGTGACACTCCAGCACAATTACAAAACTTTCATCGTCAGCTAATAAAATGCCATTTGCAAATCCTAAATTCTTTATTAACACTTCATTCTTCTTTGTTGCTGCATTGTATCTAATAAGTCTGTAAACAAATGATAAAGTAATGATGATCCTTAACATCATTGCTGTCGAACAACATCATTGCAACTTATAATAAAGGACTAATACCATCTGTGTCATTAGTAGTACTTTTAACATTTGCTTTGAAAGTAAGAAAAATTTCTAACATTATGTAACATGTAATATAGCATTTATTTTCTTAATGTCACTATAGTGTCATTTAACTTTTATTACTTTTAATGTATATTCCCAATGGAAATTTTTATATTTAAAATTCTTACCTTCCTGATGGATTGGCAAATATGGAATAAGCTCCATCATGAAGAGAGAAGTAGATACTTGAATCAGTCCAATAAATATCCCCATTTTTTGCAACATCCAATGAGTTAACAATTTTTGGAACTTTTCCATCAATGGGTTTGGAGGTATTCACTATATTTGTGAACTGTTGAGTATTTACATTAACTTTAAAAATACCATAATAAGCATCAGCAACAAACAACTCTCCTTTGTTATTAAACTTCAAACCTAAGGGTCTACCACACTTTTCTTCTTGCCATAATCCTTCTGCAAATATATATCTAATAACCTCAAATTCATTTACATGGATAAGGATAAAATGTAAAGTAGAAACATTAATTTTTAAAGGACTACTTTTACATACCACACTTTTGACCAAATTTAACGACTGGTACAATGTTGTTACCATCAATCTTTACAACATAACCTCCAGATATACCAGTATACAATTCCCCATTATATGATGCAAAACTTTCCGGTCCTTTAAATTCTCCAGCAAATAACACTTCAGCTCCTCGTAACCGATTTTTTAGCTCAAATTGAAGATTTGTATCAGAAAATTCTTTTATACTAAAACAATTACAAGAATGTAATACACATTTTATTAACATTAATATACAGATTAATTACCGTACCTATATTCGGAAAATTCGGCTTCTGGAGGTAGTCCTGGTAAAAAGGTGATAACAGCAAAGAAAAAACCGATGTATATGATTGCCGTACCAATAGATTTTAAATATCCCATTGTTTAACTTGCCGTTTCACAATATTCTTGTGATTAAATGTTACTTCGTGAGAGACTTTCGAAATTATGAACTCACTAGAGTCTCCACATATCAATGCGGATAATATCCAGAAAAAAGCCACTTTTACGTAACTGTTTCTTACCGGTGTTGTCGGTGCAAATAACGGCATTCACCGCTTTAATGGCGGTGAATCGTATGCGGCAAAATGCACGTCTTCACTCACTAAACCACTAAATGTAAAACCAAATGCCACGCGGACGGAAGATGTTAATATAATCGATTTCCGTTCGCCACACAATTTTTATTTATCGCCAACTCAGCACTGCTTTTCATTATAGTCTTTTTTTTTCCTTTAATATTAATCGAATTCATCAATGTTTAAATATTCATCAACCACACAAATTAAATTCCATATACATACATCGAGTCAAAAAGGTTTCGGTACACTTTTTGAAACACAATAATTTTTTTAAAACTGCACTAAAAGACTTGAATTTTTTTTAGATGATAGAGGAACTAGTATACTAGACAATGACAAAAATGTTCTTTTTTAAATTTTGCTTAAAATGAGAAAAAAAATAAAAGAACTCAATTTCTTTAATTTTTTTAATCTAAGGCTATAATGAAAATTTAAAATATGTGCTTCATAAATCTCTGTAACTTATATGCATGCTGGAAAGTTTATCGAAATCGGTTGACCTTGAGACGAGTTGTAAAGAATTGAAGGTTGCGAATATCGCAGTTATTTTTAATTTTTAGCGCTTGTAACTTGACCGATTTTGATGCATGCATATAACTTACCGAGATCTACGAAAACAAAATTTAAAAAAAGCATTTTAGTCATTGTCTAGTAGACTAATCTCTAGTTTCAAAAAAGTTATTGCGTTTTAAGCGATGTACGGAAACAACTTCATTGTGCTTATTGCGTTATAAATCTTAAAAACTTGTTAGTCATGCTGATAAAAACGTATGTACAATGTAAAATACCTTTTCTCTAATCTCATAATAAATGTAAATTACATACTGAAAATTACGTAATATGCATGTCTTTTTTTCATTTTTGCTTAGTCATTTTGTATTTTTACAGCTTTTTACTTTTGATATTTACTAATATACATATATAGAATTAAAAAATCATGTTAATTGTGCTGATAAGAGCGGTACATGCACGGAAGGTGTACATGGATAAGTGAACCTCTCGGCAATCTCATTACTATCTAGATAAGCATGCTTTTATCATTTTTATTTAATCATTCTTTGTTTCCACAGCTTTTTACTCTACATATATTTTTATTACACATATATGTATATGTATTATATTATATTATGCATATTGTATATGAAACAGAAAATAAAAAGCTATGAAAATAATGAATGCAAGGTAAAAATAATGGAAACATGCATATTTACACATTAATGATATTGCCAAGGGGTTTACTTTTTTTACCTTTCATATAGAGGGAACAGCAGTTCGTTTCAAAAAATGTGTCAAATGAAACTTGCCCTGTTTCAAGGCAGACACCGTATCATGGTCGCAAATTTTTGCGTGCTTCCGAATTTTCAAGGTGACCTTAGTTTTTTAATACAATTATATATTAATTTTTGTGTAAACGGATTACGCATTTCAAGGTTAATTCCTTGATCTATAATATTTTGGTCTTGAACATCGTTCAAGGTCATTTAATGTTGTTTGGAATATTTTTTGAAACAAACTATAGTTTAGGAGATAATTGATTGCGTTACTTAAAATGGGACGCCTTGTACATACCGTTTTGATTAGCATGATTTTAATTCTGTAATCATAATTTTAATTCTGTATATATTATTATAATTTTCTATATGTGTATATAATTTATTAATCTGATCTTGTGGTACACGATTAAAACGATCAACAATAAAAAGTCATATTTTGAAAAAGCAAGCTACGCAATCGATAATTCACCGTAAAATAATTGGCGCATACATATATAAAAAATGAAAGTTTATGCACCTTTAAAATATAATAAGTACCTTTTGTAGATTCAGAAATGCAACGCCTTTTTAAGAAATACGAAACAAAGACACCAACTCATGTAAGTTATAGACTTATGTAATTTCTTAATGATTCTTCGTGATCCAAAGTCACTAGCCAGAACTTTCCATAATAAAAACAATACTAATAGAAAAATGAGAAGAAAACATCCGCAAAATTTAGTACAAACGTAAACGTCAACAGTTATACACAGACGTATGAAAAAGATATAAGATGCTACTTGAAAAAAGACATCTATCCATAGAACGAATTTCGCGCGCAAAACAGTGATATTATAAAGGCCTTGTGTAATCAAACTACCTGCTACACGTGTATGTATATATGAACTACATTGTGTTGTACATACAGGGTGATCTGTTTAATTGGACTCAGTGGAATATTTCGCGAGGGATTAAAGTTATAAAAACATGTTCTCACAAAAGTTATTTGATATAAAGATGGACGTTAGTTGGTAGGTGGAGGTGATATTGAAATCAAATTAATATTTTTAAATGGGACCCTGTATTTTTTTAACCATAATGTAGCAGCGTTTGTTGAGACGAATACAATGACCTACTACATGATATCATTCCATGTAGTAAAATGATTTAAATGCATACGAGTCCGATGAATGTATCACTACCAAAGATAATTAAAAAGATATTGAAAACACTAAGAAATTAAAAAGCCACTAAAAGGGAGTGAAGAGGTTCGAAATTTGTTTAGAGTGCACAATCGAATTGGCGTCATTCGATACGGCTAGAGCTGGTACAGTCACGTAAAGTTCAGCTAGCGACTTGCGTTGAGACATCATGCATTTCATTTATATCATTGTACTACATGGAATAATATCATGTGGTAAGTTCTTGTATTCATCTCAATAATCTCTAATATATTATGGATAACAAAATACAGGGTTTCATTTAAAAATATTAATTTGACTTCAATATCTTTCCCACCACTACATCTGTAGGAATATTGTTTATATCATATAACGTGCCCCTCTATACCAAACAACTTTTGTGAGAACATATTTTTGATAACTTTAATCCCTCACGAAATATTCTACCGAGTTCAGTTAAATGGATCACCCTGTATGCATGTACAGTAATATCTCCAACTCCTGCACGGCATCGGTACAGTAATGGGACCTACTCCTGCACGCTTTTCTTACTTCCTAAGCTGACGTGCACATCCCTGCTATTTTACTGCATATCCAATCCACAGTGGATCCTGTCTCAACAGTAATTGGTCGACCAATCAGAGCAAAGAAAATTTCTATATCGACATCCGCTAATGGATCTAGTTGCGGCCTAAAGGTATACAGAAGTAGGGCCCATTACTGTGCATGTACCTACTATACACGGGTTAGAAATCCGTGGAATATACAATTACGTACATGTCATATATTGTAGCTAAAAAAATGGCGCCTCCTCCCGCCACGAACGTGACCTGGTCCGGCCCCCCTAACTTGTGTACCGTCGTTGTTGATTGTGTTGTCATTGTGTACTAGTCAACAGTACGTACATACCTATACCGGTGGACGCGGTGGCCATTGGACACGGTACACGGACACTATTTGTTTCTTGCATATAATCTCCTAATCCTAAATGCTGATTCCTAAGACAACCGACAACCAACATAGCCAACTTCGGATACTGTTGTTATATAAATTGTATATTGTACACGATTACATAAGTATTTCCAGATTTAGGTTATTAAACAATTATTATTATTAATTAAAGTAAATCAAACATTATATGTTACAAACAATGGGTAAGCAAGAAAAGTGAAATAAATGAAAAAAGTCACACAAAATTTATTAAAATTTTTTTTATTTCAGACGATCTTGAACAAAAATGCGAAGACGCATTGTATGAATTATGTGACGCTCGAGAGCGGTACCCGCTCAAATGCGCTATTGCGTTTCGAAAGTATATCCAACTCAAGAATGAAATACAAGTAATGATTACTTACGATAAATTTTTAACATATTCTTATCTAATATTTTTAACACACACTAAAAAGAATAACTTATGAAATATTGTAACATATTGTGAATAATTTTTTATGATCTTTTTAATATATGGTGCCTTAAATATTTAGGAGTTAATTAACTTTCATGATAATTTTCAGGTTAAGTAAATATTTTTTACAAATCGTGTTTAATTTTTACAGATGATAAATAAGGCTCAAATAACAAACGAAATAAATAATGTCAGTGTAATAGATAATGTGGAGCAGATTATACACTTTAATGGTAACTTTAATAACAAAGAAGTAAATTTTAAGCATTTGGATTTTAAATTGAAAAATGTTATTAGTGCATTAAATAATTTGAAAGCTGTTAGGAATCAAAATGAATATGAAAAAAAATATAAAACCAAT